CCTCCGCGGTCTCCCGACCTACCGGCCCGTCCGACGGCCCCCGTCCCGGTCGACTCTACGACCACGCTCCTTCCTACGCCTTTCGTCACTATAGCCGACCGCCCCTCCCTCCCTCCTCTCTCTCTCTTGCGCCCCCCTCCTCCTCTAATCCCGCGCCCCGCCACGTTAGTGCCGTCACAGTCCAGCCCCACGCTCTCTCTCTCTCTCTCCCCCTCTCTCTCCCACTGCCTCTGCGTCCATCCTGCCTCGCTCGTCTCATTCATCGCTCCCCTGCCCGCTCATCCATCCATTCATTCATGCGTCTCGAACCCATCCCATTCCGTCCCTTTCCGTTGCTTCCCCTCCCCTTCCTTGACCGGAGCGGAGCCCGTCCCGATCGATAGCTCGGCCAACGAGCCGCAGTCATTACGTCGGCCAGACCCCCGTCTCTGCCGAGTAGAGCCGGTCGACGACGATGGCAGCTCGAGCAGCGTGGGGAAGATGAAGATCGGTATGCTTGCTGAAAGATGGAAGAGACATGGGGAGACGATGGGTCGCACAGAGGTACACGCGACCAAAGGGAAAACGACGGACGGGACATCGACGCGGCACGACGCCGGCAGCGACGACGACGACAGGAGGCTTCGACAAGGGGCACGTCGGCCTCTCATCGCTTGCCCGAACCGTGCCGCCTACTCTTTCCGGGCCTCTTCGCCGCGCCCGTCTTAGCCTTGGGCCTAGCCGATCCAGCCGGTCCACCGCCGCCCTTCTTTGCACCACCACCGCCGCCAAACGACTTGCCGCCTTTACCGCCACCGCCACCGCCACCGCCGGTACCGCCAAAGCTGCCGCCGCTATAGTTTCCAAAGTCGTTTGTGCTCTCGGCCGTGTTGGACTTGGAGCGCTTCTTCTTGCCGCCAAAGCCGTACTTTGCGTCGCGGGCCGAGCGCGGCATGCGCGCCTTGCCGTCGGCGCCGCGGCCCACCTTGCCCTTCTTGGCGGCGCCGGGCTTGCCGCCGCGCGACGGCTTGTCGTCGAGCGCCTCGTCGAGCCGCACGTCGAAGTCGTCGTCGCCCTCGTCGACGTTGGAGTGCTCTGCGGGGGCGTGGGCGGCCGAGATGGGCGCAGGCAGAGGGATGTGGGGAGGGAGGGAGGGGATACGCAAGTGGTGAGTAACACAGACGGACCGTGGCGAGATAAACGCGCGCCGCCGCCGCCACCGTCGACACTCACTGCGCTTGAGGCTCTTGACCTTTTCGTTCATCTCCTTCTTCTTGCGCAGCCGCTCCTCGAGCTTCTCGACCTGGACCTTTTTGCCAAACTTCTTGAGCTCGCGCTGCTTCTTGGCCGCCTCGGACGCCTTGATCGACGCCGACTCGTCGAGCAGCTTCTGGCGGATGCGCTCCATGTGCTCGTCGGTCTTGACCATCTCGGCAAAGTAGTCGCTCGGGCGCGCGAACGGCGTGCAGGACGCCTCGACCAGCTTGCGCCCCTCGACGGCCGTGTGCAGCGCCTGCTTGTAGAAGGCGAGCTCGCGCTCCAGGTCGTTGTCGACGTCGGCCACGTCGTCGGCCACGACCCGGTCGTAGGTGACGCGCATCGTCTCGATCCACGGCATCTTGGAGCTGCCGGGCGCGTCGAGCCGGATGTCCTGGTACAGGCTCGCCAGCGCCTCCTTGTTGTTGACCTTGATCCGCTGCACCCGGCTCGCTTTCGCCTCCTCGGACAGCTCCACGTTGTCCGGCAGGTCCTCGTAGGCGATCTCTTCGTCCTCGCCGCCGTCCTCGTCATCGTCGTCGTCGTCGTCGTCGTCGTCGTCCTCTTCTTCGGACTCGTCGTCGGACTCGACCTGCGGCACCAGTCCGCTCCGCGCGATGCTGGCGGCCAGCGTGTCCCCGCTGGCGTTGGGCTTGACCGAGGGGAGCTCCTCCTCATCGCCCTCGGCGCCTTCCTCGTCGTCCTCCGCGCCGTCGTCCTCGACAGCCTCGCCGTCAATCATCTCCTCGTCTTCGTCCTCTTCTTCGTCTTCGTCGTCCTCGTCGTCGTCCTCCTCGTCGTCATCCTCGTCGTCATCGGCCTCCTCGGGCAGCTCCCCTCGAGCGGCCTGGAGCGCCAGAAGATCGTCCTCGGTGAGACCGTCGTCGCCGAGCGCCTCCATGAGCCTCTGCAGTCCCTTTTCAGAGACATCCTGCCCGTCCTCGGTCTCGGAGTCCGAGTCCGAGTCCGAGTCTGCCTCCTCGTCATCGTCCTCGGCATCAGATGCGCCGTCGACCGCCTCGTCGTCCTCTGCCTCGTCGTCGTCCTCCGCCTCCTCCTCCTCGTCCGAGGACTCGGCGTTGATGGGTGTGGCGGTGGCGAGCGCCGAAGTGGGCGCGCGAGGCTTGGCGGGAGATGCCTTCTTCGCAGGCGAGGCGGACGGCGACGAAGGGGAAGCCTTCTTGGTGGGGGTGCCGGAGGAAGCCACCGCCTTTTTGGGCGTGGAGCGCGAAGGAAGGGGCTGCGGCGGGCTAGGCTGACCTCCAGTCTGGGATCTCGTCTTTCGCCTCGGCGTATTGGCAGAAGGCGAGGCGGTGCTCGAGGTCGGGGCGGCCTTGGTGGGCGTGGCCTTGGCGGGGGTGCCGTTGGCCGCCTTGGTGGGCGTGGTGGCCTTGGCCTTCTTGGGCGTCGCGACCATGCCGGCTAATGGAGGAAGGGGTATCGGGGGTTGGGCAAGGGTCAAGGCTGTGGTGGAAGGTAGTGTGGTGGGACAGACGGCCAGCAGCAGGGTCGAGGAGGCGCAGGGGGGCAGTGGAGAAGGAAGCCCACAGAGGCCTCTGCGAAGAAGCCACGGCCCTCGAGAAAAAAAGTCGAGAAGCCGCCAGCCGCATGCACCCAGCTGCAGCGAGCAAAAATTCTCGCTCGGAGCCGATGCGTCCCCCAGCGTCGGGTCGGGTCGATCCATCGGGGAGCAGGGAATTCGCCCGATTCCGCAGATGAATCATCTCTGCAGCCCGTCAGGGTCCGCATGCACGGCGTTTTGACGTCAGCCAGCTGGGCCGGCCGCCGTCTCTGGCAGCTCGCCACCACCACCCGCGAAGCCTTGGCTTCTGCACCTCAGCCACGGCGTCTTGTCGTGGGCCCGGGTGGCTGGCGCTGGCCCTGGCCCGGCAGGGTCTCGCCGGTGGTCGCCTCCTCCCGCGGGTCCACCGACCAGCCAGCAGCCCTGTTCGGCCCACAGGCAAGCTGGCCGGCTGGGCTGCGGTGGCACGCCGGCACGCACAGCGACGATCCGACTCGACGCCCCTCCGATCGCAACCGCCCGCCCGACCGCGCCGTACCGGTAGCCTGCCGACCGCCTCGTGTGATCATCCTGCGTCGCCCAGTCAGGTCGGCCCAAGGGAAGAGGCTCGGCCTGGCAGTTGACCGACAGCCTGGCGCATCGACAGGTAGGAGACGTGCGGCCGGCAGGGCGTGGGTTGCTGTGCGTTGATGTCAAGCCGAAGCCAGCGAGTCTTCTCTCGCTCTGGGGCCCGAGATCTCGCACCTCTGCTGTCTCTTCGTTCCGCCTGCTTCCACGGTCGCCTACCGATAGCCAGCCAGCCAGCCTCGACTGAGGGTGCCGGGCAGAGCGTATAAGAACCCGGGCGGCCGCTCCGTCTCCTGGCCTCTCGTTCCACCACAACTGCCTTCCACTCCCGCCACACCTTTCGCGCGCTAGACTCTCTCTTCCCACTCTTTCTCACACACCCAGCGCACGCACGCTCACAACAAGCTCGCCCAACATGCACCAGGAGACGTTCAACGACAAGCTTCCCGCCTCGTCTGGCGCCGGCATTGAGAAGCAGGATGCGCAGCGCATCGACGACAACGCCAAGCGCGCCGAGAAGGGCGAGCCCCAGGTCGGTGGTGCCGCCGGCCGCGCTCAGGTCGCCAGCAAGGACCCTAAGGGTGAGTGCCCTTCGAGCCAAGCAGTTCGGTCCGGCGCACTGCTGCAAAGGCCGAGGCCCACATCGTGTCTAGCGCCAGCATCCCGATCTCGCGACGCATCGACTGACGGCCATTGCCATCTCGTCCTTCTCTCCCCTGTCCGGCGCCCTCGCCACGCTGCAGAGTTCGACGTCCGCGGCGGCCCCGGCTCCATGGGCAACAAGCCCGTCCAGGACCCCGTCGTCTAGGCGCCCTCGCAAGCGGGACCGACATCGTCTCTACGCGCAGGGTCGACCGCGCGGAGCGTCTCGATGATACCCTGCGCTCGTCGCTGAGGCATCGTCCGCCGCCGCCCTCGACGCAGCCGCTTTGCCCGCCTCGCCGTTGAGTCTTTTCAGCGTCCTGGCTGTCTGTCGTCTTGACACAGCATCGCTCCTTCGTACCGCGGTCGCCATCCCCCCACCGCCATTCGCAGCCACCGTCGCCATCACGTACTACTACTGTATCTCTAGTCGCAGCTCGTCCTTCCGAGCAACATCCAAGCAAGCCAACCCAAGTACCGAGAAGCGACCGTGCCGCCGGCTGCTCTCTGCTTGCATCTGCAACCATAGACGCCCGAATGCGCTGCACCCCGCCTGCTGGGCGAGTGCCGCGATGGGGGACGGGACCGCGCGCGAGCTTCCATAGTTCCGCAGCCCCTCTGATTGACCGCCGTCTGTTCGCCGTGGCCTGTGTGTGTCTGTACGTCTGAATCGTATTGCGCTGCCGTATCGAGGTGGACGACGTCGTGGAGGGACGGGGGAGGGCGAGTTGGGCAGGCCTGACCGAGGGACGCGTTGGGCGGGCCCCGCGGGGGCGATTTCTCGGATCCGAGCCAGATCCGGGCGTACATCGACCCCATTGGAAGTCGATGACGAGCGCCATCGCAGGCCTCTACCCATTCCCGCCGCTCCTGATCCGAGGAGATCTACATGTTGGTGCGGAAACGCGGGCCGGTCGATATGGAGGATCGTGGCGTTTGATAGGGAAGGGACGGGTCGGCGAGCGCGTTTGGCGGAGAGGTCAGAGCACTTTGACGACCTCGCGGCGACCGTGAATTTTCGAGGTGACCCAATTCACTTTGCTCCTCCCGCCAAACGACCTCCCGGACCGGCGGTGTTCTCATACATCTCGGCCGCGCGTCGTCGTACGCCGCTGGGACTTGCACTGGGACACGGATGGACACCGGGTTGGTGGTCGAGGGTGCGGTCGGATGGTGGGCTCACCTTGGTCGTTGTTGCGCTATCGTCGATCAAAGTCGGCGAGGTCGCACGTGAGGCGAGTCCGGCACGTGAGCTGGACGAGGTGGAGGGTCGGGGCTGCGCTGACCCCATCCCCCTTCTGCCCTCAATCGGGGCACCACCTCGTCCTCCATCTCCTCCTCCTCCTCGTGCTCGTCCAACCTCCCCCCTCTTCATCCTCTCCACCCCACTCCGGCGGACCATGGAAGCGACGCTGACGCACGCAGCCACGACGCTGCTGACGTGCGCGTTCCGGGTGCTGACGCTGCTGCGGATCGCGCCGCCCGTCCCGACGCCGCTGCCAGACCGGCTGGCGGCGATCCCCGAGGGCTCGCTCGACATCGACAACGGCATCTACGACGACGACTCGTTCGACTGGTGGTCCGACAGCTGCGGCCTGCACCACCTCAATCCGGTCCGCGTCGCCTACTTTTTGCAGAAGCTAGACGAGGCGGCGGCGGCAGCGGCAGGCGGCAATGGTGGTGCCAAGGGCGAGGGCGAGGGAGAGGGTGATAGGGTCGGGAGGGGAAAGGTGAGGGTGTTGGATGTCGGATGTGGCGCTGGCATCGCTACCGAGGAAATCTACCGTCGTCTCCGTGCTGCCGACGTGGGCAAGGTGCAAGGAGAGAAGCGGCGACGACGTAGCGGCGGCGGTGGTGGCGGCGGCGAGAAGGAGGACGACGAGAAGGAGGACGACGAGGAGGAGAGGTACGAAGTCATCGGACTCGACCCGTCGCAGCGATCCATCGATGTGGCCCGGTCGCATGCCGCCGCCGCCACCGCCACCACCGCCGCCTCTGGCCCTGGCCCGCTACGCATCCGGTACGAGGTGGGATCCGTCTACTCGCTGCCGCTGGCCACGTCGTCGATCGACGCCATCATCTGCTCCGACGTCCTCGAGCACCTCTACAACCTGCCCCTCGCCCTGTCGGAGATGGCGCGCGTCCTCAAACCGGGCGGCGTCGTCACCTTCGACACCATCAATCGGACCCCGCTCTCCTACTACCTCTCGATCTGGGTGCTCCAGGACGTGCTGCGCGCCATGCAGGCAGACGCCCACGACCACCGCATGTACGTCACGCCGTGCGAGATGCGCACAGGCCTCGTCGCCGCCGGCCTCGAACCGGGCCCGCAGCGCGACCTCGTCGGTATCAGGCCCTCGCTCCACTGGCCCCACGTCACCCTCTGGCGCCTCTTGACGGGAAGGGCCGGCTTCATGAGCGCCGTCCTCACCCGCTTCCAGCTCACCAGCAGCCTCGACATCTCCTACCTCTACTGCGCTCGCAAGCCGCTCCGGCAGGATGAGGGTGCCCGAGGACCTGGTCGCTAGGAGGGATAAAAGGCGGCGGCCGCGGAGGCGGCGGCGGCGTCCATCTTGAGCCGACGCGGAGATGGTCCACGCGATCGTCAGTGCCGTGCGGCTCTGTATCTGTCTGTCTGGTCTGGCTGTATCATTGTGTCAAGGAGCGAAGGAAGGGGGAACCGTAAATATACATCGTGCTCCTCGTCGAGGACAGAGGGCAGCGGGGAAGTGTCGGTGGCTGGCTGGAGTGCGCACATGCGTACGGTGCCGGGGATCGAGGTGCCGACGGCGGCGACAACGACGCTTTTAGAGGCCCTTGGCGGCGCGCTCGGGGCGGAGGGCGCGGACCTTGTGGCCGACGACCCACATCTCCTGGGCGGCGATGGCGTCGGTCTCCTTGTCAAAGTCCTCGCGGTACGTCTTGCGGTTGCCAAACTCGAGGGCGCGGCGAGTCTCGCTGCCGTTGCGGACCGACTCGTAGAGGCGCTCAAAGACGGGCTTGCACGCCTTCTCAAACTCGGGCGCCCAGTCGAGGGCGCCGCGGCGCGCCGTCGTCGAGCAGGCCTTGTACATGTAGTCCATGCCGTGCTCGCCGACAAGCGGGAAGAGCGACATGAGAGCCTCCTCGCACGTCTCGTTGAACGCCTCCGAGGGCGAGTGGCCGTTGGCGCGGAGAACGTCGTACTGCGCCTTGAACATGCCCTGGATGCCGCCCATCAGGCAGCCGCGCTCGCCGTAGAGGTCCGAGTAGACCTCGCGCTCAAACGTCGTCTCGTAGAGGTAGCCGCAGCCGACGGCGACGCCCATGGCCGTGGCCTTCTCGAGCGCCTTGCCCGAGACGTCCTGGTGCACGGCAATCGAGCCGTTGATGCCGCGCGACTCGAGGAAGAGGGAGCGGACGGTGCGGCCCGAGCCCTTGGGGGCGCAGAGGATAATGTCCTTGTCCTTGGGCGCCTCGAAGCCCGTCTCGCTGGCGTACGAGACCTGGAAGCCGTGCGAGAAGTAGAGCGTCTTGCAGTTGGGCATCTTGTCCTTGACCGAGTTGTAGACGCTGGTGCAGGCGGCGTCCGACAGCAGCAGCATCGCCGTCGTCGCCTTGGCCGCGGCCTCCTCGATCGTGAAGAGGTTCTTGCCCGGCTGCCAACCGTCCTCGATGGCCTCCTCCCAAGACTTGCCGCCCTTTCGGACACCGACGATGACATTGAGGCCGTTGTCCCTCATGCTGCGCGGGGCGGTGACAGGGGGAAGAGAGAGAGCAATAGAAGAGGGCTGCCGGTCAGCAAGAGGGAAAACCTGGCGGTAGGGTCGAGGCGGGCGGGTGGAGCAGCCAGCAGCCGGCGCGAGACGCTGTCCTCGAGGCGGGAGCATCCGCTTCTGCCTCTGCGCGGACTGTCCTCGTGCCTCTGGCCTGGATGCCTGCGCCCGCGATGCGGCGTGCCACAGCATTCCTTCCTCGCCCCGCTTCGACGACGGCGCCATCTCGCTGGATACTCACTTGAGGCCCTGTCCGTGGCCCTGCGAGCCGTAGCCAAGGATGGCAAAGGTCTCGTCCTTAAAGTACTGCTGGAGCTTCTCAATGGGCCAGTCCTCACGCTCGTAGACCTTCTCAGGGATGCCCTGGGTGAACTCGATGGTCTTGAGACCACGCGAGGCGGCGGGGGCGGCGGTCATCTTGGCGAGCGCGGGGCGGGTGGCGGTGGCAGCAAGCGAGAGGGATCGCGCCGAGCCGGCCGTGGCGCGGCGGGCGACACCGCGAGATGCGGCCCGGAGGGCGGTGCGTGCGACGTTGGCGTTCATGGTGGAGCGAAAGAGTCTGGGGTGGGAACGAGCAAGGATGCCAGGGGGTGAGGGAACGGTAGTGGTGGGTCGGGAGGGAAGACGCAGGCTCGCGAAGGTCGCTATTTGAGGCAGGCAGGGCGGGCGGGCGGACCGGCTTGGGCTGGGGCTGGCGACGACGAGCTTTCAGCCAGCTCGGGATTGAGTGGGGCGCAGAGCGCGCGTGCGCGCAGGTGAGCCTGGGGGGATGGCCGGCGGGGAANCACGGCGGCGGCGGGGGCTCGAGGCTGCTGGCTGGCTGCTGGCTGGCTGCTGGCTTGGCTGCTGCTGGCTGGCCGGGTGTGACTCGTTTGTTTCTTCTTGCTCGCCCGCCCGCCCGCCCGCCCGCCTTGGGCTCTTGCCCCAGCCCGTCAGAGGGCGGCATTTCTTCTCAAAGCGGGCCAGAGGCCTGCCGGCCTGCCTGCCCGCCTGCCTCTCCGGTTTTCCTGCAGGCAAGCAGGACCAGAGGCGCGCAGGCATGGCATGGCCAGGCCAGGCCAGCAGGTTCTTCTGGCAGCGCGGCGGCGGTGGCGGCGGCGGCGACCTCCGTCCGCCCTGCCTGTTGGTGGCCGGCCCCATTCAGCCGGCCTCTGTGGCGGCACCCCTCTCCTCCCAGCCTGCCGCTCTCCCTTGTCCACACGACCGCACCCGGCCTCCGTCAGAAAGGCCGCTCGAGACGGTACCAGCCGCAGTGCTTTCGGACACGATGCTGCAATGAAGAGAGGTCACGCCGAGCCCCTATCGGGTGGCATTCGAAGCAATCGACGACGGGGCTTCGTCCTGGACCGCCACAGCGATGGCGAGGACGGCAGGATACGACGACAGCGGCGGCGACGACGTGACGTCTGGCTGCTTTCAAACGGCCCACCACCGAGCACCAACTAGCGCCGGCCCTGACTGGACTGGACTGGCCCGGTCTGGAATTGGAAGAACAACGAGCGGCCTTCAGAGCGGGGCAACTCGCAGGCCGGCCGCTGATTGGGCGCACCGGCCCCCCGCGCCCGACCTTCTTTGCACGGCTCTTGCCGCACGCCTCGGCCTGCCTGTACGTCGTCGACTCGAGGGCATGCCTCTTTGTTCTGCCCGCCTGCTGCTGCTGCTGCTGCTGCTGCTGCTGCTGCTGCTGCTGCACCGACGACGGGCTCCTTGCCGCACGTCGACGCCGTACGTCGTTGTCGTCGTCGTCGTCGAGGACCCGCCGGGCTTTATCTCGGTCCAAGCACCATCGCCCTCCTGTCATTGGGCCACGAGCCCATCCATGCACCTCGTCCTTCCTACGGTAGCCGTCTTTCTGGGGCCGCTCTCTCCCCGCCTGCCTCGCCGTGACTCGACTGCGCAGGCGGATCGACTATCGGCCGGATTCTATGAAGCAAACGAGCAGGTCAAGTACCGCGGGCTACAGGGCGCAGTCGGCGTCGAGCCTGAGCACCCTGACTGTCCGATCGAAGCCGCAGCTGGCCACGCTGCGCTCGTCGAGGGCCACGACGTCCTTGATGATCGTGTTGCCGCCCCGGCTCCACGACACCACCCTCTGCGCCTCGTCGGTCGTCGTCGTCGCCACCGCTGCCGCCGCCGATGAGCCCGCTTCGGCGTCGGTAGATTCGACGAGGCCGTGGCACAGCACCTGGGCGCGCACCTTGCCCCGGAGGTCCACCAGGCGCAGCACGCCGTCCTCGGAGTTGAGCCAGATGCCCCGCCCCGACGGCAGCCAGCTGTGGCGCGGCGTCGCGTACGAGGACGTCGCGATCCCCGTCCACACCGTCCCCGCCCGCCGAGACGAGAGAAGCGGCAGCAGCAGCAGCCGCGACAGCGGACCCGTGGCCGCCGACGACGACGACGTGTTGAGGTTGGTCGGCGTGTGGTCGCCCGTCTGAGCGCAGATGTAGAGGCCCGACGGATCCAGCGACAGGGAGAGCTGGGCGGTCGCGGTATGGTCAGGCGGCACAGGGAAGCGAGAGATGTCTCGTGATGTTAGTCACTACTGCTGCCCTCCTGCCCTTTATAACGCTCGCAACGAGGCCAAGCCCGGCACGGCGACTCACGAGCGAGTAGCTGACGTGCAGATCCTCCGGGTTCGGGTTGGTGTTGAAGCTGACGAGGTGCCAGTCGCGTGTCGTCTCGGCAGGCTCTTCGCCAAGCTCTGTGGCGGCCAGCTGGTCGGTGAGCCCGTCAACCTGAGCGCCAGCCTCGACGGCAGCGCCGGCGCCCTCTCCGCTGGCATCCGCAGACAGAGGCAGCGGCAGGTAGTGCAGGAAGCTGTCGTTGCGCACCGTGAACGCGAGCCAGGTGCGCTGACGGCGAGCGTGGCGGACCAGGATCTCGTCTCCGCCCCGCGCCTCGATCTCCTGCACCTCGCCAGACGACGGCTGCACCGCGGCGCGGACAAAGATGATCGACTCCGGGTTGGTCTTGGTCTCGAGCTCAAACACCTTTTCAAAGGCGTCCGGGCCGACCGACGGGTGCTCTTCGTCGTCGTCGTCGTCGTCGTCGTCGCCGTCGTCGTTGTCGTCGTCGTCGTCATCGACCTCGTCCTCATCCTCCTCCGCCTCTGATCCATCGACAGCGCGTCCTTGTCGAGAAGCGGCCGCAGCTGGCACGGGGCGACGTCGGTAGACGATAATCTTGCGGTCGTAGCCGGCCGACGCGAGGTACTCGCCCGAGGGGCTGAAGGCCAGCCGGACAGCAAACTTGGCGTGGTGGCTGAGCGACTGCACCGGCTTCCTCGTCATCTGCGATATCGATGCGTCGAGCAAGAGAGAGAAGGAGAGGTCAGATGCGCTCGTCCTTTGCATACAAGGCTCGATGTTGGCGCGCTGACGGCACGGCGGCCACTCACCAGGTCCCACACGACGACCTTGGCGTCCATTCCGGCGCTGACGAGGCACCTTGGGTTCCCGGGGTCCTGCGCGACGGCCAGCACCGCCGCCCGGTGTCCGGGCACGTCGTCGCCATCGCCCTCGAGGATCTCTTCGACCTCGCCGGACTCTGCGTCCGAGAAGACGATGCGCTTGTCGGCGGCGGTGGTGACGATGCACGGCTTGGACGAGTTCCGGAAGCGGGGCGGGCGGGCCGAGGTGTCGAAGCTGCGCCGGGGCAGGGGTATCCGGGTGATGGAGAGGATGTTGGAGGCATGCAGCGTGCGATGCGTCGAGACCAGACGGAAGGGAAGCTGCGAAGGTCCCGGCAGCGTCAGGGTGAGCGGATCCACGACGGAGCGCGACGAGTGGGTCGCGTCGAGCGAGGCCTTGAGGCGCCTCTGCTGGGCGGCGCGGAGGGTCGAGTTGTACGACTCGACCAGCGTGCCGAGGTCGAGGCCCGGATCGTACGACGTCGAGGCCGAGGTGGCGGGGATCTCGAGGCCGGCCTTGGCCGCATCCCGGCGCAGCTGCTCGGCGGTGGCGTCGTAGCCGTTGGAGCTCAGGAAGCGCTCGACGATCTGGTGCGTCCGCAGCGTCAGGTCGTACAGATCGGCAGGTGCCGCTGTCGATGCAGCAGCCGCCGTCGCCGTCGCCGTCGAGCTGCCAGCGTGCGACATGGTCACAGTCGGCAGGGGAGAGGGAGGAGTTGAGGCGTCAGAGAGAGAGAGAGGTGGTGGGTGTCGGGAATCAGCAAGCACGGACCGAGTCGAAATGTGGAGAGTCGCAAAGGCGCGCAGCCAGGCGGCTGCCAGCTGCGCACAGTCCACCTTCCTCGCCATACGAGGCCAGCCAAGCCTTGCTTAGCTTGCTTCTCACGGTCAGCCAGCGTCTCGCGGGTTGTCGCTCCATGCGCTGTCCCCGATTCGCTTTATTCGCGGTCATGGATGATATCCTAGATAATCGTATGTATGGTACAGGTTCGCCGGCCAGCGTCGGATGGGACGGGCACGCGGGGGGGATGGGACAGAGGCCGAGACGGGGCGAGACGAGGCGAGGCGGCGCTGGGGCGCGCGCGGCGCGGGATCGCCTGGCCGAGCCGCTCAGAGGTCGGCGGGCAGGTAGTCGCTGTACTGCTTGCTCTTGACCTTGTTGAGGTCCTCCTCGGTGATGGTCTTGACCTGGTCGCCGGCGTTGTAGCCGAAGCGCTTGGCCGAGTTCGAGGCGCCGGCCTTGAAGAACGAGGGGCGCCTGAGGATGGTGACGACGCAGCTGCCGCCGAGGCCGATGTTGTGGGTGAGGGCGTGCTGGACGTTCTTGACCTGGAGGGCGCCGGCGTCGCCGCGCAGCTGGTCGACCATGTACTTGATCATGCCCAGGCCCGTGGCGCCGAGCGGGTGGCCCTTGGACTCGAGGCCGCCCGACGGGTTGACGACCCAGCCCTTGCCGCCGTCGTTGTACGTGTTGAGCTTCTGCTCGACGAGCTTGTGCGCCTCGCCCTCGGCGCACAGGCCGAGCGCCGGGTAGGTGACGAGCTCGTTGGGCGCAAAGCAGTCGTGCAGCTCGAGCACCTGGATGTCCTGCGGGCCGACGCCGGCCTGCTTGTAGGCGGCCTGGGCGGCGCGGCGCGACATGTCGGCGCCGGCGAGCTCGATGCGCGAGCGGTCCTCGTAGAGGCGGATCGAGTCGGTGGCGATGCCCATGCCCGCCAGCTCAATGGCGCGGTCCTCGAGGCCGTGCTTGCGGACAAAGTCCTCGGAGACGACTACGGCGGCGGCGCCTCCGTCCGAGGTGGGGCTGCACATGGGCAGCGTCACCTCGCGCGTGATCTTGCGCGCCTTGAGCACGTCGGCGGCCGAAGGAGCGACGCGGAACTGGGCGTAGGGGTTCTTGACCGAGTGGCGGTGGTTCTTGGCGGCGATCTCGGCAATGTGCTCCCAGGTGGCGCCGTGGCGCTCGCAGTACTCGAGGCCGGCGGCGCCAAAGATGCGCGCGGCAAAGGGGCCAAAGTCCTCGACCTCGTACTCCTTGTCGCCCTCGATCTCAAACAGCTGCGACATGGTGCCCTCCATGGGCGCGGCGCGGTCGGTAAAGGCCGAGCTGAGCGAACCGGGCGCCATCTTTTCAAAGCCGACGGCGAGCGCGCACTCGGCCTGGCCCGCCAGGACGGCGTTGGCGGCGAGGGCAAAGGCGCTCGAGCCCGTCGAGCAGTTGTTGTTGACGTTGACAATCGGGATGCCCGTCATGCCGAGCTGGTAGAGGACGCGCTGCCCGCACGTCGAGTCGCCGTAGACGTAGCCCGCGGTGGCGTAGTCGACCGAGTCGTACGTGATGCCGGCGTCAATCAGAGCCTTGACCGCACCCTCGAGGCCCAGGGCGGGGTAGTCCTTGTCGCCGGGCTTGGTGAAGGCAGTCATGCCGACGCCGACGACGTAAGCCTTTCGTGCAGCCATGGTTGCGAGGGGTTGAGGATGGGAGGGAGGGTGAGTGCAGAGGCGAGGGAGGGAAGTCGAGAGCGTGGCGGCTACAACGGGAGCAGGGGAAGGAGTCGGGAGGTGGTGGATGGGTCGAAGAAGGATGGCGCTGGGCGCGGCGGAGGGTGGCTTTATGTAGCAGCAGCGTGACGGCGAGGTGAGGAGCCAGGCCGGGTGAGCGAGCCAGCGGCCCGAACGTCCTGCCTTTGGGCGCGGCAAGGGCAAGGCAGGGCGAGGGCGAGGGCGAGCGAGGTGGGCCGGGGGGCCAGGCAGGCCAGGCAGGCCTTAGCTCCGCTTGCGGGGAACAAGCTGAAAGCCAGCCTCGTCCTCGTCGTCGTCTTGCGGCGCCACGCCCAGCGCACGGCTGCCACAGGTGGGGCAACGAGCAAGCGAGCCAAGCAAGCGGCCAAAGCCTGCCGTGAGAGCCGCTCAGCGAGCAAGGGTCCATCCACCCCCGCACTTTTTCGGCCGCGCTTGCAGTCCAGCGAGCGAGCTCCAAGTCCGAAGTCGGCCAGCGGGCCCCCATGTTGAAACGGAGGCTAGGGCTGTTGACCGCGCCTGACAAGACACAGATGAGGCCTCCCCGCTGACTGGGCTCAAAGGACAGCAGCTTGGCCACTGGTTCAAGCCATCAACACCAGGTGTCCTAGCCTGTTGCCATCTGCTTGGTGTTGCATGGCTTGACAAGACTCATGCCCGCCCAACTGTTGCGCACCGCTAGGCCAAACCAGGCAGCACAGGCAGCAGCCTACGTGACGTTGACAGATAGAATGAGGGCAAGCAAGCTGCTGGCTGCTGGCTGAGCGTGCAAGACTAGGCTGAGGTGCTGCAGACGTTGGGACGGACGGCCAGCAGCGGGCAGACCATGTAGCAGGTGGCCGCCTCCCTCTTCCCCGCCTCTTAAGGTATCATCTGCAACAAGCTGCCCCCGCCAACCTCTGCCAACATGAGGCTGTTTGGCACGGAAAGGTGTCCTTTAGAGGTGCAAGAGCGGTACATGCAGGCGGCCATGTCATCGGGCGCAGCCTCACTCCGACCTGGCCCCTCTCTCGTCGTCCTCGCCAGCAACGTCCTTCGACTTGACAAGGCCAGGGCCACGCTTCGCTCGAGACTGCCAGTTTGCACGGCCGCGTTCCGGCCCAACCAGCCCGCACCTCTTCGCTGCATCGCCGAATCGCTGAATGAGAACATCTCGGGGCCAGAAGTGCCGTCTATGGTACAGGTCTAGGATCACGATGCTCGGCGCCGTGGAGCGCACCGACGCCTCTATAGCCGCGCCTGCTCCTTCCTGCCCGGCGGCGGCGGAGGGGGGCTGCGGAGGATCGAGGCCTGGGTCATGGTGGCCACCATGCCGAGCTCCTCGTCCCACAGCCTGGCCTCGGAGTAGGTCTTCTCGGCCTGCCCGCAGATGGTCTTCATCTCGCGCAGGTGCCACTTGTTCATGTCGGGGGCCTCGGTGTGGTAGCGGAAAGCGCAATCGAGCGACGAGCACGCACCGACGGCGTCGAGCGGGATGTTGGAGTAGGTGACGGGGATGAAGGCGATGGCGGCGTCCATGGTGAAGGCGAGGAAGCAGGCGTTGGCCGACTTGGCCGACACGGGCAGCGCGCGCGAGTTGCCGCCCGGCGGCGGCGGCAGGGCGGACGACGAGGGCCCCAGGTCGACGCGGCACCGGAACCAGTCGACCGAGACGCGGTCCGTCAGGGCGAGGTGGTCCTGGGTCGTCGGCTTTGACGTGTCGTTGCCGATCATGTTCTGGTAGTGGATGCTGGTGGGCACCTGGCGGCTCTCGCCCAGACGCATGCCGAGCTCAAACATCTCGAGCATGCCGCGCGCGCGCTGCGGCGTCAGCCCGCCGGTGCGCACCCGTTCGTCGATGACGTCCCGCCAGCTGGGCACGTCTTCCGGCCGCTGGACGATCGTGCTCGGCCTGGCCGAAAAGGGCGCGTAGGGGACCTTGAGGGGCTCGGCGGGCTTGGGGACGGGCGCCTGGAAGTCGATCAGGGCGGCGAAGCACGATCGCTCCTGACCATTGTCCCAGGTCTGGTAGGCGGTGACGAAGCGGGTGGCAAAGGTGCGGGTGTCGCGGACGATGTCGACCTTGAGCCTGACGCGGCGATCCGATAGGGCCGGGCCGAGGTAGTTGCCGTTGAGCGAGTAGATGTTGAAGTCCGGCAGGCCCTTGCGGCCCTCGACGGTCTTGTAGGCGGCCTGGACGACAAAGGCGAGGGTGCAGCCGCCGTAGGCGATGGCGGCCGAGTTGCCCTGCTTCTCCGGGAACGAGCAGGTGAGAAAGACGTTGGGCTCGTCGGTGGCCTCGAGCCGGATCAGCTCGACAAAGTTTTCGGCCTTCATCGAGGGAGGAGCGGCTGTCGTGTTTGCGGTCGCGATCGCAGATACCATCGATGTCGTGGCAGAGTGGTGGCGTTGTGTGATCCGTGGGAAGGCGTGGTGGTCTACAAGGGAAGATCGCGAGCAAGGATGGGCCTCTGTGAAAAGCCCCGCTAGAGCAGAGCAGAGGAGTCTTCCAGCTCCTCTGTGCCAGGGTGCCGGCTGGGGGTCCGGCCCGACGGGCAAAGCTATGGCCGGTGGCTCGCGTGGGCCGCCCCCTTTGTCACTTCGGAAGTCGGGTGACTGAATAAAGCCTGCCTGCCTGCCTGCCTGCCCGCCTCATCCCTCCACATCGGCGAGTGCCGACGTCACCCGCCTGCGTGCACCGCCACGACGACAACGACGACCACAACCACGCTCGACGGCCGCCGCGCCAAGCCAGGGGACCCCCTGAGTCGACTTAGCTGTCTCGCCCTGGCTTGGCTCATCCGGCGCCATGCGGTGGCCCTTTCCTTGCCACTACCACCATCCATCCATCCTTCTCTCTCCCTCCCTCGCTTTCACTCTCACTCTCACAACCTATTCACAGAGGCAACCGATCTCAACCGCCACTTGGCCCCCCTTCCTTGCCCCGACCAACACCTCCAACCGCAGGCAACCTCACAATGTCGTCCTCGCAGCAGCCACAGGAGGCGCCGCCATCGTACGACCAGGCCAAGGCGCAGCCCTCGAGCCAGCCCGCTGGGACGTCGTCGGCGGCCACCGCTGCCACCACGTCGGGCGGCCTGCTCTCTGCGCCCAGCGTCGCCGAGGAGCGTCGCTCGATGGAGGACATGCTGCGCCCGCTGCCCAAGGGCTGGATCCGCCAGTGGGACCCCGAGTCGCACCACAACTTCTTTGTCGATACGCAGGCCAACCCTCCGCGCTCGATCTGGGTCCACCCCTTTGACGATGACCAGTTCCAGCGCGAGCACCCAGACGAGGTGCGCAAGGAGCGCGAGCGCCTCGAGCGCGAGAACCTCGTCCATGCCGAGACCGACGACGACGACGACGAGCACCAACACCTCGGCGCCGCATCCAAGGGCAAGCCATCCTCGTCGTCTGGCAAGCCGCACCTCGGCGCCGCAGCGGTCGGTGGCGGTGGTGTAGGCGCTGCCGCCGGCTCCTCGTCGTCTGCGTCGGCCTCGACTCAGCAGCCAAAGGGCATGAAGAAGTTCGGGCGCACCCTCAAGGACAAGATGACGGGCACCACCCACGAGCAGCGCGAGCAGCAGCGCCGGCAGCGCGAGGCCGCCGAGCGCCGCGCCATGGAACAGCACCAGATGATCCGCAACGCCCTCATCCGCGCCGCCCAGACGGGCCAGCCCCAGTTCCTCGGACGCGACCAGCAGGGCCGCGAGATCTTTGCCCAGCCACCGCCGCCCGGCGCCTTCCGCATGGGCCCGTCGCTCGGCTACGGCCCGTACCAGACCATGAACGGGCCGTACGGCGGCTACGGGCCTTACTCGCGCCCCATGGGCCCGTACGCGCGCGGTGGCGGCATGGGCATGGGCGGCATGCCCATCCTCGGCGGTCTGGCGGGCGGAATGCTCCTCGGCGGCCTCCTCTTCTAGGCCGGCGTCGCAGGACATCTCGAGTTTCGTACCTCGACCTTTGTGTATCGTCCTTTTGCCTCTTCATGCCTCCTCGCTCAGACAAGATACCTTTTCGTTGATCCGGTCTGTCTGCGTCTCTGCCGTGGGTCCACGCGACGACAGGAGGCCGTCGAAGCGATCCTGACATGCGGCGATCTGATAAGCGCATCCTCCCTCAGCGGAGGGAATCGCTGCGGCGTGCGGCACGAGGCTGAGAACAAAAGGAGCCCCGCCGAACCGACCTATCGCGCGGCGAGCGGCCACCTTCGGCCTTCGACTGCGGGCCCGTGGCAGGTCGCGGAAAGGCATCTTAGCTTGCGTGATGCGACGCGCTGGGGCGCAGTGCGGGGGAGGCCAATCACATGCTTGCGCGCAGAAATGGTGTCAGGACGGGGGGCCACGACGTGCTCGGCCTGTCCTGGCCGTCGCTGTCGCCGGCCAATACCGCGAGCCATGCCCTCGCCTCGCCGCACCGCGATGGCCGTCGTCCTCTCGCGCAGTCTTAGTCTGTACCTACCCACCGGCACTTCGAGTCACCCTCCTCTCTCAGCGCCATTTCATCGATATCAGTAGTGGTATGAGCTCGGAGGCAGGAGCGTTTTCGCTGCAGAGGCCGGGGGCGGGGGCCGGCTGTCGATGGCCTCGGCTACGGCTCTCGCTCCCGCTCAGATGTCGGAGCGATCCACGATGGCACACAGGGTAGGCAGGCCAACGCCGCACGGCGGACCAAACGAGCAGATCCTCCCTGGTCTCGCAGCCCTCACGAGGCCGACGCTACGCCACGCCTCGCCACAACTCATCACGCTACTTGATGGTCAGCCGACACGCGTACGTGTACGCAGCGGAGCATGAGCGCTCTGATCCAGGGGACAAAAGCTTGGCCCTCTCTCCTGGTCATGCTGTCGATAGTTGGCCGGATTGGGCTAAACGAGGCAAGCAGACGGGGACAGCTGCCCCCTCGAGATCCAGTCGTCCGGCGCCGCTGCCGCCTCCTCCGGCCCGCTCCTCGTCCCCCACGCATCCACCTCGTGGCCAACAGGCGACAGGCGACAAGCGTCGTGCGTTAGTGCGTGCTTTGCGACCCCATCTCGCTAAGGCGCCATAATCAAGACGCCTTTGATGCGTCTGGCCGGCCTCCTATCGGCCCCGCCTCGTCTAGCGCCTCGCTCTCTATAAGACAGGACGCAGCTTGCTCATCGAGCAGAGGCGTGGCCCTCGTCCCTCTCCTCCTCCTCCTTCGCCTTCCTCCGTTCATCGCTTTCGCGGACCGCCAGAGCGCTGTTCCATCACCCTTTGCCCATCTGTGCCACCCGCTTTACGAACCACGCCCCTAGCTGGCCATGACAACGCCCGACAAGGACGAAAAGATCGGCGGTGGTGGCGGCGGCGCGGCGACGTCTGTTCAGGATGTCCTTCCCACCTCGCCCCACGTCGACGCCTCGAGCAGCAGCGTCGACCACAAGTCGCTCGTCGACACGCCATCCCGCGAGGACGCGAGCGACGAACAGGCGCCGTCCTACTCCAACAAGTACGGCGGCATCTCTGAGCTGCTGGGCCTCGGGGACCGGCCGCCACCGGCCCAGGTGGCCTGGACGGGCAAGCGCTCCTGGTTCCGCTCGACCTTTACCCAGGCCACCATCCTCGGCATGTGCAGCTTCCTCTCGCCGGGCCTCTGGGGCGCCCTCGCGGCGCTCGGTGCCGGCGGCTCGCAGAACGTCTCGACCGTCAATGCCGCCAACTCGCTCACCTTTGGTCTCATGGTGCTCACCGCCGCCTTTACCTCGGCCCTCGTCAACGTCACCTCGATCAAGTTCGCCTTGATCTTTGGCACCATGGGCTACGCTCCCTACGCCGCCGGACTCTACCTCAACTCCAAGACGGGCGCGCAGTGGCTCGTGATCTTTGGTGCCGCGTGCTGCGGCGTCTCGGCCGGCGTCTTCTGGTCGGGTGAGCCGCACCGGACGCGCCCCTCGTCGCGCGCGAGCCGTCGACAATGTCGCTGACCGCCTTTGCTCCGCTCCTCCTCTCACCTTTCCCACTCGACCGCCGGCAGCTGAGGGAGCCATCATCCTCGCCTACCCGGAACGGAGGAGACAGGCGCGGTACATCTCCTATTGGCTCATGTTTCGCGTCCTGGGTCAGCTGCTCGGCGGCATCATCAACCTCAGCTTGAACGCCAACAACAGCGAAGCGGGCAGCATCTCGCTCGACACGTACCTCGTCTTTGTCATCCTGCAGTGCCTGGCGCCCTTCTGCGCCATGCTCCTCAGCCCGCCGCACCGGGTGCAGCGCACCGACAAGACGCCCGTCTACCTCAACATCAACACGAGCACGCGCAACGAGCTTTGCCGGATGTGGAAGACGGTGACGAGCCCAAAGGTGCTCCTGCTGCTCCCCATGATCTGGCAGGGCACCTGGTCCGAGGCCCTCATCGGCACCTACGCCGCCATCCACTTTACGGTGCGCTCGCGCGCCCTGGGCTCGCTCCTGTCGGCCGTCTGCGCGTCGCTGTGCAACTACGCCCTTGGCTTCTACCTCGATTGGAAGCGGCCCGCCATCAACACTCGCGCCAAGAGCGCTTTCCTTGCCGTCTACTCGCTCCAGGCCGGCCTCTGGATCTGGGCCATCTACATCATGCACGAGTATACCGAGACCAAGCCCACCCTCGACTGGACCTCGGACGGCTACGGGCGCGGCTTCGCGCTGTACATCTTCCTCCAGGTCGGCTTCAACATGATGTGTGAGTGTCTTTCGTCGGCTGCTTGGTCTGCTGGCGGGAAAGACAGCCTCTGACCGCCGCCACACTCGCTCTCGATCTCCGGCTTTGCCCCATATTCGCTCTCGCCCTTGTGCCGGACAGACGAGTACGTCTACTTCCTGATCGGACACATCAACGACGACCCGGGCGAGATCGTGCGCATCGCCTCGGTCGTCCGCGGCATCGAGTCGGCTGGACAGGCCGTATCGTACGGCGTCAATTCGACCGGCCTGCGGCTGGATGCCGTGGCGGGGATCAATATGGCGCAGTGGGCGATCTGCCTGGTCCCCGCGTGGCTCGTGATCCGCAAGCTGGGCATCCTCGCCGACGGCACGCGCATCCACGAGGCGCGGATCTACGCTCCGGAGGAGAAGCGCGAGGCGCTCAAGAAGAGTGGCATCAGGGAGGCGGAGCACGACGGCACGGGCGACGTCCTCGAGCGGCGGCAGTAGACCGGAGCATTCTTCCTTGTTTTGAGCGGCATTCGGTAATGGCTCTGCACCTGCCTTGCATGAGGCCATTTTTCCTTCGTCTTTGTCCATTTCTCTCCACGAGACTGAGCCGTTTCGAGACGGCCCGCATGCTGCTGCTTCTCCGCCGCGCCACGTCTACCGACCTTCGACGGCCGCCTGCAGGTTCCAGAGGACGAGCTCGGCGAAGATGCTGCGCATCGCAGGGGGCCATACATCGACGAGGGGCGGCAAGGCACGGGGCGGAAAGGCAAAGGTCAGCACACTCCTCCGGCGGGACCGTCGTGGCCGGGCCAGCGCGCGACACTCACGATCCAGCGGGGCTGAGGCTCGGGGTGAGGGGGTCGAGCTGGTGCTGGTCCTGTCCGAGGATGAGGTTGGCAAAGTCGACGCCATGCACGTCGACTGGCATCCGTGCCGACCTGTCGAGGTACCCCTTGGCCACGTCGTCGCCCTGCGGCTCGAGGAGGGACCGCTGCGCGTTGTTGAGCTGCGAGATGCGGTTGCTGTGATACAGCGGGTGGTTCTTTTTCTGTCGAGGTGTCGCGGGACGAAGACAAGGAGGTCGAGAGGTCGCGGGTCAGTCGGCGATGCGAGGCGACGGATCTCGAAGCTCCCGGCGCGGGACGGGCGACTCACGACGGCGCCCTCGGTGCCCAAGAACCACTCGACGGTGTTGGCCTCGCTGGCGAGCGGGAAGTGGGTGTTTCGCCAGACGATGCGCGAGCGCTTCCAGGTCTTTCGGAGCGCGGTGAGGATGTCGACCATCCGGCCGCGCCACCAGAGGATGCGCTGCTCGCTGAGGTTGTCGATGAGGCTTGCGCCGCTGTCGATGTCGTCCGAGGCCCACCTGGCCAGGTCCCAGAGGCCCGAGTTGAAGATGACGAGGTCCGGCTCGCGGCGCAGCCGGGGCTTGGGCAGCGCGGGCGACGTGTAGGTCGACGAGGCCATGGCGGCCAGCAGCGGCTGGTAGAGGTCGGTGATGCGCGACTCGAAGCGCGTGGGCGCGTTGTAGAGGCGCTGCGACTTCCACGTCTCGGCGTGGTCGGCGCCGAACGAATAGACGGACGTCAACAGCAGGTCGTACTCGGGCACGTGGCAGAAGTGGGCCAGCGCCACGTCGGCATCGACGGCGGTGGCCTGGCCGTTGCTCTTGGCCGCGGCGTCGAGTGCGTCGCCCCAGGGATGCGCGCGGTCGATCTTGACCGCCTTTCTGCCGACGAGGGTGCAAAAGTGCTCGACCAGCGTGCGGTCGACGTGGTGGTCGCCGATGAGGAGCACGGTGCGGTTGCCGGCGATGGCGGCGATGCGCTCCGAGTCCGGCGAGCTCTTGAGATCGGACGACAGGTGCGGCGCGATCTGGCTCGGATCCGCAGAGGTACGGTGGCCGAGCGTCGATACCAGCCTGGCAAACAGGTCCGAGGGCGGGCAGGACGAGTCGAAGGTGCGCCACGACGCGAGCTCGCCGGCGCTGTGCGGCGACTCGACGTAGCCTGGCTGCGCAAAGGGGTCGCACCGCGCACCGCTCGACCCGGCGCGTATCGACGGTAGCTTCCAGCCTTGTGGTCGTAGAGATCTGGCGGGGCGGTCAGAGGGAGAGGACAGGGGCGAGGGCGAGGGCGAGGGCGAGGGCGAGGGCGAGGGCGGTCAGCACATCATCGCCAGGCCGCTGGGTGTTCTTGGGGTCGCGGTGAGCGGCTCCGCCAGGATGCTCACGATGAGCTGGGCGTGCCAAATGAGCAGAGGACGGCGACGGCTACAAAGCCTGCGCTGAAGACTGAAGGACATAAGGACGAGCAGCAAGCAGGCAAAGGCGGTCAGTCACATGCGTTCGCCATCGTCGCCCTTGGTCGACGTCGCCCGTGGGACTGCGCAAGCGGCGCTGACACGCACTTGTGAGGACGCGCCCAGCGACCTCGACGGCGGACGCGGATCGAGCCTTGGACTTGCCCGTCAGCGGGCGATAGTTGGACGGCATCTCGTCGTCGCCGTCGTCGTCGTCGTCGTGGGCGGCGGCGGCGTCGTGTAGCGGCGGCGAGGGGGTTGAGCAGAGTGTGACAGGGTCGGAGGCGCGAAGGTGTTCGGCAGTGCGACGTCGGCGGCGGCAGCGGCGGCGGCCGTGTGGAGAAGGACCGTGCGAGAATCGATCCAGATCGGCTACAGTCCCGATGAGCCCGGGCCCGATGATGATGGAATTCGATTTCGAGATTTTCCACTCTTGATCACGTGCTGAAGCTTGGCCTCGGCCGAGCCCAGTTGGAAACTTTTTCTCGATGGCCAGGTCGAGAGAGGAGCCGAGCTGGAGCGAGCGGGCGGCCGGGCGGGCGAGAGCGATAGGGCGAGGCGCTGGCCTCGCATGTCCAGGCCCCGTCTTGGCTGGGCGAGGGCTGGCTGACAAGGCAGCAGCTGCCTGCAGGGCGGCCCCGCCAGTTGGCCCAGCCGTGCCCGCCCGGCCGCCCGGCCGCCCGCCTGGCTGCCAGCGCGAGGAAGGACGTTGTCGCCATCACCGTCTCTGTCGCTCCCTCCCGCCGCACCCTACCCGTCACCCTCGCCACCCCCTCACCCTCAAGGTTAGTATCTTCGACCCCTGCTGCATCGCTTGCTGCCGTAGCGACCATCGACGACGATACGACACGACACGGCGACGCTGGAACGATCCGACCGGTACTGCATCCGCCCTTTGACCCGGCCCGACGGCGTGGAGCGTCTCGGCTCTCGATACGGTATCAGCGACGACGATGACGACGATTCAGCATGTCCAGCAGGGCCACACTCGCGGTATGCGACAGCGTCATTACCACCACGTAGCTCATTGCTGTGATCCAGGGGGGAACGACGCCGCTGGGCGAGGAGGGGAGGACGTTATGGACCGCGGCGGAAACTCGACATCAATCGCAGCGCTCGCCTGCCGTCGCAGCTGCCCTGCGAGCGCTTGGAGAAGGCATCAGGTCGCTGAGCGGCGAACTCGGTGGATTGCTGCAATGGAAGGAGAAGGCGCACGAGCATGAGCACACCAAGGGCCTTCGACCGAGGGCTTTCCATCGAAGCAGAGCCAGGCTGCTCCGAGCGGCGTCCATCAGAGCCGTGGGCGGGATATGCTGGATCAGTCGATCGACGCCCGACCACCGCCAATCACAGTCCACCAAATCGACCAACCAGCCAGCCAGCCAGCCACAGCCAGCCGGACTCGTGTCTGCCCAAAATTTGAGCCAGGATCAGCCAGGCTGACCCCGTTTCGTTCTGCTGTCCGCTCTGCGCTCCTCTTTCCCTTTTTCCACCAACGCCCGCATCGCAATCGCCATCTTCCTCTCATCGCTTCGATCGATTGGACAAACAGATTCAAGATGCTGCAGATCTACAAGGACCTTGACCTGGCCATCCCCAAGGAGGTCACGGTCTCCATCAACTCCCGTGTCTTCACCGTCAAGGGACCCCGCGGCACGCTCACCAAGGTTAGCATCGAGCGCCAGTTGACCATGGAGGATGTCCCGTGGCAAATTGGGTCTAGAGGGAGCCAGCTGCACGCGTTGGACAGCGGCGCAGGATGCAGGATATAGGGGCAGGAGCGGACGAGGGCGGTTCGGTTCGTCGGTGACGGCTGGCAGACCAGGGCGCCACGCAGTTGCTGCCCCGTTTAGGGCAGGGCGCAGGTCGGTCGAAGCGGGCTGCAGCGACGTCGGGGAGTCGGTTGGATCCGGACAGGCTGCTTGAAGGCAGAGGGCAAGCGTGTCCGCCTAGGACAAGGAAAGCTCGAACGCCTCGGCCGATGGTCGCAGGTGGCCCTGGTGTCCCACGGCAGCTGGGGACCAGTCTCGGCCAGACTGCATGACGGCGACACGGCCTCGAGTCTTAGAGACTTGGGAGGAGATGGCACGGATGGCGTTGGGGTGGGCGGTCGTCAAGCTGATGTCCGCGCGCCCGTCCATCGTGAACCAAAGGAGCTGACCCATTCTGCCGCTTGCCTCTGGCCTCTTTGCGACGACCCCCCTCCTACCAACAGCACCTCAAGCACATGAACCTCGATGTGCGCCTGGTCAAGAGCCCCAGCGGTGACAAGGTCAAGTTCATCATCTGGCACGGAGGCCGCAAGCACCTCGCCTGCCTGCGCACTGGTGCCGCCACCGTCGCGAACATGATCAAGGGCGTCACGGTCGGCTTCCAGTACAAGATGCGCGCCGTCTACGCGCATTTCCCCATCAACATCATCATCGCCGGCGACAACCGCTCGTGCGAGATCCGAAACTTCCTCGGCGAGAAGCGGGTCCGACACATCCAGATGCTCGACGGCGTCACCATCTACGAGGACAAGGCGCAGAAGGACCAGGTCCTGGTCGAGGGCAACGACATTGAGCTCGTCTCGCAGTCGGCCGCGCTCCTCCACGGCGCCTGCCTGGTCAAGGAGAAGGACATCCGAAAGTTCCTCGACGGCATCTACTGCACCGGCAAGGAGAGCATCGTCAAGGCCGAGGAGTAAGCGCGCACCCCCGCCGCTGCCCATCCCCGTGACCTTCCTTCCCTCTTTCGCTCCTCTTTCCTGTCCCTCTCACCCTCTCTTGGCCGCCGCCCTTGCCATGCCATCCATCCTTCACCCGACCTCCTCCCCATGCGCCTACGCACACACGCCTGCACATACGCATCACCACGCACACACACACACACATACGCCACCCGAGTGATCCGTCCTTTGCCGGGAACACGCCCGAGCTCTTCCCTCGCAGGAGAGACGCCAAAAAATCCCACAGATTATCCCAGCCATGCTGCCTGCCCGCCTGCCTGCCTGCCTGCCTGCCCGCCCGCCCCTGCCTGACTGCTTCTTGTCGTGCTGATTGGTGATTGCGACCCCCGCGAGTCTGCCACGGGCCCCGGTCATCCGACTCGGCTGCGACGCTGGCCGAGGGCCTGGATTGGCCGCACCGGCGACTGGGTGAGTCGGGCGACCATGCGCACCTCGACGCGACAAAGGCCGGATGGCGGTGTGAGGGGGTATACCGCATGATCGATTTCGTCTTCTCCTTCTTCTATGCCACACCCTCGACCCATCTTCTACAGCGGCTGAACGCAGCAAAGCGCCCAGCCTCAGAGCATGCGGTGGATGACGTGCTGCTGGAGGTCGGCGAGCGACTTGGCGTCGCAGACGCCCTCGCCCTGCTGAGCCGACGTCGCCGCCGCCGCCGCCGCCGACGCCGCGGTGCCCGAGACGGGCTTCGACGTCCTCCGCTGCAGCAGCTCGGCCCACCAGGGGAAGAGGAACTTTTCCACGATCAGCTTGAACCACGGCGTGAAGGCCTCGGCTGCGCGGGCGCAGAGCGGGTAGAGACGGTTCAGAGGAAGGCGGGCAGGCAGTGTGAGCTCGCGACCGTTGCAGCGGTGAGTCGTCCCAGATGCGGGGCAGGAGGACGGCAGGAGCGAGGCAGGAAGGGCACTCACGATCCAACTCGGTCATCAACGCCTTGAGCTCCTCGGGCGAGACCCACTTGACGTCGCAGACTTCGTTCATGCTGGGCTTGAGCGTCACCTGGGCAGTGATGAACAGGATGTAGTCGACTGTCGGCAGGAGGCAGAGGGGAGTGAGTGGGCGTGTCAGCGTACCAAGCTCTGGCCTCTCGCTGCGTCGTTGCGTGGCTGCGTCGCCGCGGGCGGCGATGCTCACTCTCGTGCTCCCCCCACGTCTCGTCGCCGGGGGCGAGGTAGTGGATGCGGGTGAGGTACTGGAAGTCGTCCAGGGGCACCTGGGCGGCAGGGATGCCGAGCTCGTGGTCGAGCTTGCGCTGGGCGGCGCGCCTGACGCCAATCTGCGCGGTCTCTTCGAGCTCGCCCTTGATGGCAAGCGGGTGCGAGCAGCAGGTGTTGGTCCACATGTTGGGGAAGGTGATCTTTTCGGGGGCGCGGCGCTGCAGCAGCAGCTTGCCTGAGACCGGGTCAAAGAGAAAGACGGAAAAGGCGCGGTGCAGCAGGCCCTTGTTGATGTTGGCCATGAGGTGGCCTGAAGCAGCGGCGGCGGCGGCGGTGGCGGTGGCGGTGGCGGCGG